TAGATCTGGCATGTGAAAGCTGAGAAAGGGCGGAGCCCGTCCCAACCCCCGCTGTCAGATCCGTTTTCGAACCCCGAAATACGAGCCGTCTCCGAGCCTCGGCAACAGAGAGACCCGCTCGGGGAACGCGAACCGAACCGTCCTCCTCGAAGAACGCCCGGCGAGAGCGGAGCGTCCTCACGGACAGCTTCTCGCAATGCACAGTCAGATCCCTCGAGAAATGACTGTTGCATGCTCCACTCCCAAACAGCAACAAAAAGCTGATGTGTGTCCCCACCCGTGATGTAACGAGGGCAGGGAACAACACAACGTCTATAATATTGCTTTGCTCGCCATAATGATAGATAGTGATATATATATTGGGCTTGACAAACAACAATAAATAGACAAGGACAGAATCACAGAGAGCGCTTGCTGAAGACTACAGAAGCTGTCGCGGTCTGTTTTCAAGGGTGCTTTATAGTTTCCTGGTCTATGACGTCACCTATGACGTATCGGGCTTCCATTGGACTGATTTTACACGTGCTTCATGACGCAATCACGCAGAGCGTTCCCACCGCGTCTCAAACGCAGCTCGAAGTTCCCTTGAAAGGGAACTTGTACGTGTTCAGGTCTGGAAACCTTATCTCTATTTTACCTATTTGTCCCCTTTCCTTTTGCACCACTAACACTGTTTTGTCTTTAAAAGAGCACTTCTACATTAACAACAGACATAGCACTTTTGAGCCCTCGCTGTCTTTGTTTTTTTTGTTTAAGGTTGTTTTAAAGTTGTGGTGTTGTACATCTCATTTGAGATTTCAAGTTATTTATCTGATTATGCCACAGAGGTTCTCTCATGCTTTCAGCCTGATGAGGTGGAAGAGCCAGACTTTTTATTAATGATGGAGACAGTACATTTACATTTATGCATTTGGCAGATGCCTTTAACTTATAATACCATACATTTTAAAAGTATATGTGTTTTAACGTTTTAACATGATATCATTAAACCAACTGTTTCTGACAAAAAAAATGAAAATGTACTATCAATCAAAAGTTTGAACTCAAATTCTAATTTATTCACTGATAATATTTGTCTGCAAAGCAAATTTCAAGAATTGAAGCATTATTGTTGTGATGTCAAGTGTCTCCAAATGTTGACTGTTAGTAACTTACTGATTTCTTAGGGTATCACATTGTCAAAGTGTATTTTTTTTGTTAATTTTTGGGATTTCATAGGCAGCAAAGGGATTCATTAATGCCGTCTTCAAAACAGAATGTTGCGTAAACACTGGATTCAGACGTGCCTCAATGTCCTCCTACTTCAGCATTTTACAGGTTTTGAACAGAGCCAAGAACATCAAAGACAGATCCTCAAAATAAAAGCTAACAAAGAACAATCTAACAAACCCAACATTGTTAGAAGGATATCAAGCTGACTCAACAGCAAGGATCAAGACAGCCCAGGATTATGTTTACACAGAATTTCTCATGCTCTCTGATCTGTCAATTGCTTCAGGTTTTTACAGGTCGAACAGAATAACATAACTAGCATGCTAGACTGAAAAAATTAGAAACATACCAAAAGTTAAAATGTTCAGAAACATTCTATGCATAGGAGGAAAATGCATTTCATAAAAACAATTCTAAAATACGTTACCGTGTCGTACACTGTAAAAAAAAATTGTTGACTTAACTCATTATTTTGGGTTTATCTTTTTGCATGTTTTTTTTTAGTTTAACTTATTTCGAAAAGTGTACCTGACAAATTTGGAAAGGTTTACCTGACAAGTTATAAAGTACAATGAACTGATTTGATTTAGTTGAGTAAACTTTTAATCTAAGTTCGGCCAACTAAAGTTAAGATTTCTAAACTTAACTTGAAACGTGGTGTTTTGAAACTCTAAAACCTGCAGCAGTACCAAATACTTAATTACTACTAGAACCTTAATTTGTGAAATACATTTGATTTAAACAGAAATTGATGGCAAATTAACGATCACTGATACAATTTTCAATACAAAATATATTGCATTGAACTCCTTTCCATGAGGTTGAAAATCTCATTTTTAAGCCACCATTATGGTGATCAGTGTTTGCTTTAGTTGGGCTCGTAACCCTTATCTGTTAATATTAGTTTTTTGTTTGGCTGTTTTTATTGAGTTATTACTGCCAGATGATCAAAGAGTAAAGGTGATCTGATGGTCATCACAAAACTTAATTTTCGCTTAAAAATTAAGCGCCTAATCTCTGACTTTAAATGTATTTTGTTGATTACAACATCACAGTGATTCTACAGTACAAGATCTAGAAATTTCTAAATAATCCAAAGGATTTCTTAAAAAAATGTTCTGATAAAAAAAATCTTTATTTAGGCACACACAGACATCAATAATCAGTGTATGAATCTCAACAATGGTGACAAACAGAATATTCAATTAGGAAAATAAAATAATTTATTCATACCATGAAGCATGATTGGATCCATGAATCAGTTTTTATTAGTGGCACCCAGAATGCACTGCAACATGCTTTATTATTGTCACCATTTTTGAGATTCACAGGCTGATTATTGATGTCAGTGTGTCTAAATAAAATAATTTATCAGAGTGTTTTGATCAGAAAAACCTAAAGAAATATTTTGGATTATATTGAAAATGCTGAAAATTGTTTGCTATTGAATCACTAAAATACTCTCTAATTGAGATTTGTGATGCAGGTCAAGTAATGATTATGTTAAAAAATAACCAACACCATCAGATCACCTCTTCTCTTTGATCATCTGGCAGTTATTATTCAATAACAACAGCCAAACAAAAACTAATGTTAACAGTTTAAGGGTTGCGAGCCCAACTAAAGCAAACACTGATCACCATAATGGTGTCTTAAAAAAGTGATTTTCAACCTCATGGAAAGGAGTTGCAATACAATAGAATGGAATACAATGCAATAAATTGTGTATTGAAAATTGTATCAGTGATCGTTAATTTGTCATCAATTTTTGTTTAAAACGAATGTATTTTATTAAAGATTAATAAATACAGTAACAAATGTATTGCTCATTGTTAGTTCTTGTTAGTTAATAATGTTAACTAATGAACCATATTATAAAGTGTTACTGACGTTTTTATTATATTTTTTTTTGATTGACAAGTTATTTTGCTTATATCTCATACCCTCTAAAAATCTGATTATGCAATCTCTTTCTATGTTTGCTCAAAAGTGCTATCTGAAGGTCAGTCATGACAACTCTTTGTATAGTTTTAGCATGTGAGTGGATATGACAATGTTCATGTATTTGGCCTTGGTGGACTAAAACAAAATTATCTTGTTTCTGTTTGAATTAAGATTATTTGTCTAACCCCATTGAAACAGATCTGCTCGTACGTGAGGTTAGCTTGTGCGCAAGCTACAGGACAAGCCGGATTCCACCTTATCTTTATGTACACAATAATAATATTTTACATTGTAATCCTTTTATTTCTAATATTTGGCATGTGTGTGGAATAAGCAGAGTGCACACTCGTTGTGCACCCGCCTAATAGGCGCTTATTACTAATGCGTCCTTTAAATAACAAAAAAAAAATCTATTTCAGTTGCCTCAAAATAGCAACGCACCGACAATCCAGGTGTATGATAGGGCCCCTAGAGTTTCCTGACTGAACTGATGTGTGCGTGTTATATATGACTCTATTTTTTTATTTCCGATGTGTCTTTAACTCTTGCTATGCAGTTTATCATTATTTAAAAATAATAATAATTAAAAAATATATAAAATTGTTTTCAGTGAGTCACAGTTGCTAATCTGGTCAGAGAAGTTTTGTAAATGTATACCCTGAAATGCAATGTAAGTCGCTTTGGATAAGTGTCTGCCAAATGCATACGTTTTTGAGAACATTTTCTCACTGAGATATGGTTCTAAATAATTGTATCCAGTTTGTTTTGAGTGTTGGGTTTCTTTTTGACTTAGAGCCAGATGAGTGAACCTCTGTAATATGAGTATATGAATGGGAGCACAATTCCCCCTCTATCCTGTGAAGACAGATGTCTCCCAGAGAGCATGCGTTTCTGGATGCTTTCCACTTTGAGAGATTAGTTACACGATGATTCATGACATGTTATTTGCATCTATAAAGCAAAGGGGCAAAGAAATGAACCCCAAAAGGCATTGTGACATAACTCAAACATAGTACAAAGACACTTTATATAGTCATATTTCTGCGCAGAAGATCTGAACGCAACCACTGAATGCTAAAACATTCCACCAAGGCTCATCAGCTTTATGTCCTGCATTGCCCAAGCCTGCAGAACATTCAGGAGGTGTTAAAGTATCAGATAAATGTAGGAGGCAGACTTTGTGTCTCAGTCACCCGTGATTGTGTCTGTAAACAAATTTTCTCTGCAGTCCTGATCATGATCTTCACTGTCATACTTTAGATTTTAAAACATCTGGCAGAATAATATTTAAAACATGTCAACTCAAAAAGGCAACATTTTTGTAAGAGTTCCAAAGATTCTGTCTGGGCCTGCTGTTGAGTTTCTGTGTTTAGAAAAAAAAAAAACATTTATTAGATAAATTCATTACACAAGAGGTGAGTAATGCTGTGTGAGCTTTGGTTACTGCCACTGGTTCCAGTACATTTCCTGGTAGAGTTTACTTTTGCCTTTTAAAAGGGTAAAAATCATATTATAAATGCAGTAGCATTCTATAGGCTAATGAAACACAATGAGGTGTTGGATTTTTGAGAGAATCTCTTAATAAATCAAAGGATGGGAGGTATATATATATTCCATGCAGTCCCTTTATTTCATGGATTTTTCTAGAAAAGCTGAGACACAGACTAATGACAAATAGGTATGCTTTTTGAAATCCCCTTTTAAGCCAAAGAGGGACAGTCTGACATTGTTTAGGACATAAAGATAGAAGAGAGGGGTGAACAAAACTTACAGAGTGGGCAAGTGACTACTTGTTGTAGCTTTAGGGGAACATTCTCCTCTTTATAGTCAGTGTAGGAGTCAGAAGGAGTGTAGACCGACACTGCCGGAACTTTCTTCTTCCACTCACATATCTACCAACTTCTGAAAAACAAAAAAAAAGATGTTAGTCATTATGGCATTTTTAACCGCTCTCCTGATATCAGGAAACACCAAAGGTAAGAAATTTCAGACAATTAGTTCTTCATAAACTAACTGAAGAATTCCCTTACATAAATGTATTATGGTTCACCAAATTACTTTAAAGTACACTTATTTTGATGTGAGGACTAACATACTAAAAAACACATAAGACTAAAGTACTTGGTTATAATTTTAACTGCAGTGTGGTTTTTGAAATTATATTTAAAGTCAATATATTTTAAATTGACCAAATTGCAAATTCATTGATCATGTAATTTCAATTATATTCAAATACATGACATACACGTTTCAATAGATATTGCATTAAAGTATATTTTAAGCTTGTCAGTACACTGTTTTACACACAACAGACTAATATGAAATCACATACAAAGGTGTACTTAAGTCCCACATAAGAGGGTCAAAAATCACTCTAATGTTTAACTAATTTCATTAAATATAAATTTAAATTATAATACATTTTCACTTAATTACAATCAATATTAAATTGTGTTAATTCAGTTTATACATTCACTTCGCACTTAAGTATTGTTATGGTGCAGGCAAGGGAAGAGGAGCAGAGGATCTTAGGGACAGTTTACAGGACACCAGTTCCAACTAAAAATGGAAACTTTTTTTGGCTGTTCATTTACACGATAATGTTGTTTTGGCGGCCTGAAAACAGACTTTTCAACTTGTAACTTGTAACAAATTGAAAACGGGTTGTATAGTGCAAGTTTTTGAAAACAATACTGTTATTTTCACACTGTGGTTTCCTCAGGAACAGACTGAAGATTCCGATTATACATACAAACTCAAACTTTAATACTTTTTTTTAAAACTGTAGTCATGCGCATTACGTGTTCAGTTTATAGGTGCATAGTGTTTCTTTACAAAGTGACATCGCCAACTACTGACCTGGCATAAATGACCTGGCGCTTTTAATCGTTTTCGTGGACCAGTGTAAACGGTGATCGTTCTGACAATGTTGTCGTCTGTACACGAAAAATGCAAACGAACAACTTTTCTGTTTTTAGTACATCGTTGTTGTGTAAACATACCCTAAATTGCAACAGTTTTACTTTTATTTCTAAAACAAAAACAGCAATCCAGAAACCAAATAACAGCTTCACACATGTGAAGACAATGCAAGACAAAGGGTAGAGTACCCGAGGGCTTAAAAGGCTAAATGAGGAACCCAACAAGACACAGGTGAACATAATCAATTAGCCAATGAGTAACCATAGTAACAAAGGAGATACCAAGGGAACTAAGTAAGCAGGAACTAAACACAGATAGAAAACTCGGGAACTAAAGGAAACGACATGATTCCACAAACAAATTTTATTTCTGCAATAAGTATTTTTTAAATACTAAAGTGTACCTCCTTTTCACAAGGCACTACTACACAACTACATTTCTCTACAACTTTTGTATGACTACAATGTTTGAAGGAAATTTTCATGCTGTTAACAATGTAATTAATTGTTTAGCATTTTTACCACATAGTATGGGTTTCAAAAATTGTAATCAACATTGAAAGCCTTTGATTTTCTTTTTGATGTTCAACCTTTGAAATTAAGTTTTAGAATTTTGCTTAGCATATATTAAGTTGTCAGAATGCATAGAAATGATTCACCCAATGCTAACATTGCTTTATGATAGATGCAGATGAAAAGGTGCTGGATGCTTTCCCAAACCAGACAATGAACTGCAATGAGAGAACTGTCTTACAGTGCAACATCAGCAAATCAATGAAGTTGAACATTGTTGCAATATTCTGGAGAAAACAATCAGAAGAAGGTTTTAAATGTGATCCAACATCAAGTAACAACCCTCCAGGATTTGAGTGCAACTACACAAGGGAAGCATTAACATTAACTATTTTACATCCTACACCAGCAAACATAGATGTATATTCTTGTTGTATAAGGGCGGACTCTACACATGGATCAGAGAAAATCAACGTTTCTTTAGGTCAGTTCATTTAACAATTATTATTATGATCATTTAGCAGAACAAAGCTCCGTGCATGATGCATATTTTAATGAATTCATGAATGTTTGGATGTACGAGTGAATCAATCAATTAATATGTAGAAAAGGTTACATCCTTATGAGAAACTTAAAAAGTAATATTTTAAAAATAATTTAACATGAGTTTAAAATGTGTCAACTTTCTTTGTATTTTTAAAACATTTGTATTCAATTTAACTAAATAAATTTTAGAAGAGAGTCATAATCAAGTCATTGTTCGTATGAATTGCATATTTACTATTATTTTTCTGAAAACATTTTTTTTAGAGATCTGGACACAAAAACGGGGCATCACATCATTAACCCTGGTAACTTGTGTTTGTAAATGTATTTACGCAGGAAAGTGCAGTGGAGAATTCTCCCCAAATATGACTGGGCCCGGACAAATGGAATGTAGCTTTAATAGTGTGTATCCGGACGGAATAATAAACTGGTTTCATTACGACAGGAACGTGACTTCCAACTCTAATATCACAAGCCTGAAGAACTCTGATGGAACATTCAACATCTCAAGTATCCTAAACATTCAAGACAAAGAAGAGAGATATAACTGCTCTCTGTGGTCAATCAAAAATGGACGATACCTTAAAGATCAAGAGTTTGAAGTGGAAGTTGGTGTTGGTCTTGGTGTTGGTTTCAGTCAAGGTAGCAGGACCAGTACGCAGCATTGTTTATCATGGACTCTTCTCCTTCTTGCCCTTATGTTTTCATTGAGAACCTGTTTGTCTTTATAATCTTTATAAATCAACTCAACTCCTACTCAAATATCACAAGACCCAATAAAATAACCAAATATCTGGTGGGTTTAAATAAATGAAATGTGCAAGATAGACTGATCATCTAATCAATGTTTTCAGTGGAAGAACTGTCTGCCATGCAGAAAATCTAGATCTAGGGAAATGTACGGTAAGGGAATGGTAACACTTTATTTAGACAGTTCATGACATCCTACTAACTTTAAGTAACTTTGCAACTACATTTCAACTAGCAGTCATTAGAGTATTAGTAGACTGTCTGCTTAATATTTGCTAAAACTTTATTTTGATGATCCCCAACAGACATTCTGACTATATGTAACTTTGCAAGTATACATCAACTTATTCTACTAACCCGAACCCTAACCTTACAGTTAATGTAACTGTGCCTTTTGGGTTGTTGCTCCTAAACTGTGGAATGCTCTTCCTTTAGATCTAAGACTAGTGACTGTACTATATTTTTCAGCCATTTTGCCTAAATCATCTTAATAAGTCTTTACTTGCTCATTGATGCAGTTGGTCTGACACTCCCAGCCATGTTGGTATGACTTATTGTGAGGTAAGGGGTAAGTTATTCCTTGAATGGGCAGTCTTCATAGAAACTAATTCGACCTCCTAAAGAGAGAGAAAGAGTGCAGGAAGACTAAAAACTGTTAAAAATATGACAACTAGATTCTAGCTATTGATTTGGTAGCTCATGTTTTTTAACTGCAAACTTACCAAACAGTGTGCCTGAGAAACACTGAAATGAATGGGGTTCAAAGCTGGAACTCTTCACAGACATCAACAATCAGCATTTTTTTAATTATTATTATTATTTTTCAACAACCAGCATATGAAACTCAACAATGGTGACATTATTCGAGCTGCAGTGCATGATGGGTGCCATCATACAAAACTCATTCATGGCTCCCAGCATGCATTGTGGCATTAATAAATTATGAAGCTGAATTATTTTACTCTCTCTCTCTCTCCTTGACTATTTCAGTCGTATTCCATGATTCTATGCCCATCTCTCGCCATATGTGAGAAACTGTCTATACATTTTATTGGCAATATTTTTTTCGGGGTGGTTTGTTAGGTCTTTTCCAAATCCTCCCCATTATATGGCTTGGGTCTCACACACACACACCTACAGACAATTTAGCATCTCCAATTCACCTACTCTGCATGTTTTTGATTGTGAGGGAAACCCACGCAGACACAGGGATAACATGCAAACTCCTGGAGAAAGGACTCCTGGCTCAGCCAGAGACTCAAACCAGGGACATCTTGCTGTGAGGCGACAGTTTCACCCACTGAGCCTCCCTATTCTTTTACTATTTATATTTCAATATTTTCTGATCGTTGTCACCATTGTAGAGGTTTGTGAGTGTTGATGTCTAAGAGTGTCTCTATTTTTACATAAAAGATGTTTTTTTTTTTTTTTTAATATCTCTTGATGTTTTCCGTGTTAAGGCATTACAACACTCTTTTCATTACAAAGGTTGAATTTATTTGTGGGTTTTTTCTATTCATTAATGCTTCTACTTTTTATTTAAGTCAGTCATGACTTAACAGACACAACTACAGAAAATGCAGTTATTTAAATCACTTTAATGCAGTCATTTACTACCCTTAAAACAGACATGTTGATCTGTTTTTTCATTCATTCATCTCTTTCTTTGTCATTTCAGAAATGTTCTCTGAAAAGGCTATATGTAACTGCATTAAAAACATTAAAAGTCAAGGGCCAAGAGCCCAACTAAAGGAAACACAACATAATGGTGACTTCAAAAAATCTATTTAGATGTCTGTTTAGAAAAAAAACGATTAAAGAAAACATTGAATATACACATTATGCATCAATTGTCCATGTACCTTTGTGTGACAAATGCTAGTGTCAGCTGTTCCATGAGAGAAATGGGGTCTTCCTCAAGATGGTGCTTGGTGGCATTGAGTCGCTTTCAAATATCAGTTAGGAAAGCTGTGCAACCTTTTTAGCTTTGTGAATGAATTGTTTCTCCTTGTTTAATTCTGTATTTAGTTTTTGGATTTGTCCAATTTAAAAAAAAAATGCAGTTGGTAAAATTATATATATGTTTTTAATGCAGCTTGTGGCTTACAATCAAATTTGACCCTTGTTTCTTAAATTGGAAAGCAAATTACTGTCAAACTGAATAAGTCACAAACATATAGTCCATATAATGTTATTGAAGAGTATTGTACCTCTAGCCACTGAATGATTTTGCATGACTTGTCTTAATGCTTTTGCACTTTTTGACATCGTGCCCATACACACAGATCAATGATGCCTTCTTTCTCCACTTCACTAGCCACCACAGAGATTTCCATCTGAAATCCCATAAGTACTCAAACACCCTCATATATGCTTCATGTGATTTTCTCTAGTCCGTTTCAATACTCCTAGAAGTTTCATGCAGTTTTACAAAACTCCACTAGGAGGCAGATTCACACTTCACTACATTTATCACTGGAATTGTGCTTCTCAACTGGTTTTGCACCAGGATGCAGATTTTACATTGAAGACCAAGTGATGACCCAACACAGTAACAAAATAATGAATGATGATTTTGATGCCTACAACAAAATATAGAAGAAAGGTTTTCTCTTCTCAAAACTAATGAAATTTGATGTATGCTTATTTGCTCATTTCAAAAGTAGGTCTAATTAGTGTTATTTAAAAAGTATATAAACTTTAATTCAAGGTGCAATGGCACAAGAAAAACAAAGAAAGCAATTGCATTTGGCTCCAGATGGCAAAAAAGTTTGGGCCAAGTCTGGTTTAGTATTTAGCACTTGTGGTTTGGTTCTGGCAGGGGCATCGCAATAACCTTTGGTAACACTTTAGAATACTGTTCCGTCATTAAAGGGTCACTCCACCCATTTGCATTAAGAGGTCCATTGTTAGACAACCAGTCATACTATTGAATGGTCGTGCAACATTCTTTCATTTTCCCCTGAGACGAGAGAAATCTACTATTTACCTTTTTCACTTCCTCCTACAATGACGCAAAAATCGTCATTTGACGTCATTGTAGGAGGAAGTGTAAAAAGGGGGGATTTCTGTATAGACTACAAGCACAAATTCCCACCCTTTCAAACCCGCCCATAGGGGGTTGGACCTAATGCGCTAACAGAGCTATCACAGATCAGTGGGTGGGACTTCACTTGCAGATACTGAAAGCAATATCAGCCATCTTGTTTATAAGCTAAGCTAACAAGCGCTGTGGATATAGGAAGTTACGACAATGACGGAAGAAACTAAACATGATATGGAAGAAGAGGATTTTGAAATTCTGCTGCTCGAATCCGCTGTTCGTGGCTATCTTTACGAGCCCCAATATAGTGAAGAGCAGCTGAGGCTGATGGTGGAACAGGAGGCGGCTGCCTGTCGCGGACGAGGAGCCCGGGCTGGCTCTAGCTGGGCGGACTGCTGGTGCGTGTGCTCTCGCTGTGCGCTACGGACACAGATAGAGTCCGTCTGCTGCAGAGAATTTCAACAAGGCAGTTTCTCCTGGACGAAATCTCTGAATCAGACGACCACACGGACGTTTGTGTTGTGATGTGAACCATCCTAGTTTCGCCTGACTGAACATGCAGGTATCATGCAATAATTCACCATATAGAAAGAAATACAAACGAGTAATTCACTAATGAGTTTGCCAATGTAACGGGGTTCGTTGTTGTGGGAAGAAGGAGGCTGGAACCGGCGAACATTTAAACGTTTTAATAGTAAAATAAACAAATACAAAACAAAAGTATAAGCCAGCTGGCCACACACAACAGAAACAAAACATAAAATCAGGCCTGTTCCTTTTGTGCTTCCGCTCCTCCGTGAGAGATATGAGACCGCTGCACAGGTGCCATTCATTATCACTCGCGTCGTCCTCTCACGTCCCTCGCCCTCGTCCTGCTCGCCACAACTAACTAGACATTTTTTGTGAAATGAATTTTAAACTCATTTGGCAGCTAGCCTTCTTGTAGACGGAAGAGCGATTTCTCTGATGTTTGCGCTGTTCTGGATTAGTGGGAGTGGCTTGCGGAGCTGTGCAACATGGTGCATTGTGGGAGTTGTTGTCTTACATACAAATGCGCCCCAAAGTTATTTTCTGTCTTTTCTCGGTCAAGAGGGCACCAAATTTAAAATTTCTTTTACATTTCGACTACATATATAACCCACTTTCAATAAAGATTAATGTTGAAATGGGTGGAGTGACCCTTTAATGATTAACTACACTAACATTTGTTACTACTAATATAACTAACAAGAAACTCTGATTAATAAATTAGTAATAGTGCTCAGTTGAATGTGGTTCACTAGCTAATCAAGTCCCGTGGTGATAGGAAAATCCTTAAGTGCATTTGTTTCGCGATGATTTCAGGTCACAGGTTTTATATCCCCTCTTTATGTAAAGCAACTAGCGCAGACATCCCCTGTGAACTCTTCTGCACAACTGAATAATACCATATTTCCTTGTCTGGTTTTATACGGGTGATGATCCATGTTTTACTTGTTAACACACAATGTATTTCAATAGAGCAGACAGAAACACCAGCCATGGTGAACCATCTTCACTTTAGGAGGAAGGATAGATTTGTCTGATCACAGGAGGCTCTCAGGGATCATTTCATCTGGCCTGGAGCTCATGTCATGGATAGAAGATTTATAAAAAGAAGAGCAAGTCGGTACCAGAGAGCTACTTTAAACAGATATTAAGATTGCATCAATTCATGCAAACGCCACTCATGCATGGGAGACTCATCATCACATTATCTTTGTACTGCATTTTACCCGCAAGTAAAATGCATTGTGTAAAACTTTTTTATTGTCACTTTTGTTTACTGAATAATTATAATGATTATATTCTTTTGTTAACTGAATAATTATTCACTCCAACACAACATGGGCAAGGATGAAGTTGAAACCCAGTAAATCCAGGAGCATATCCATCATCAAAGGAAAGCTTACCGAACATAGGTTCAACATCAATGAAACACCCATTCCATTGGTATCAGAGCAGCACGTCAAGAGCCTAGGACGGTGGTACAATGCAAGTCTCAAAGACACAGAG